ACTAATTTATCTAAAGTTATTTGGTTTAGAAGAGATGGTTAACTTTTGATGTTCACCTCATCTACTTTAGGATTAATCTAATGTTTTTTTTAATCTAGTTTCATCCAAGTTGTACATAAATATAGTGTTTGAGGTTCACAAGCTAAGCTCTACACCTAAAGCTCGGTGGTGTTAATTAAATAATGTCAAAGTTGGGGCCAAAGTAGGCTAGTAGATTATTTGAAAATTGTACCAAACATCAACATACATTTGCTCTTATAACTAGCAATAACATAGTATTGAGAAACATAAGGTCTACACATCTACAAGCTAGAGCCTCTATGCCATGGGAACAAGATAAATCTCAAGCATATGGTTCATCACACAAACAATTGCAAGTCTTATTACTAGCCTAAAACAACTTCTTGCATAAGAATTTTGTAAATGGATAATTAGGAAGTTTAGAGGAGATAAAACAATTAAGTGCAAAATAAAATAGAATAATACAAGGCATATTTTCTTGTTTATTGTCATAAAAGAATAATACAAGCGTCCCTCAGCAAAATTGCTCTCTCTCAATTAATTAATATATAGCATCTAACGCATGTTGTTATATTGTTTGATTTTGACCCAATGTTTTTGAGTCCTCTCAAGTCAACTCTTTCTTAATGTATCGATGTGACAAAAAGTCAACATCTTTTGGGTCCCTCAGGCTGCCATCATTCAGCTTAATGAACATGACATAAGCTTTTAAGAAACTTAATTAATAGATTACTAATTACTTCCAAATTGCTTCTACTTATTTTTTTTTATTTAATAATTTTGACTAATTACAACCGAATGTTTCACAGCGTCCATATGTATTCTTATTTCATCGTCAAATTAATATAAGCGGCATGGAAATGGCCGGGTATAATTAATACATATAACCCTAAACAAAAAAACAAAGTGTGTTAATCAAAATTAGTGTTAATGGTTTTATCTTACGCACTTATTTGTTTTTTTCTATTATTTTTCTGGGATCATATTGCTCATCTTCAATTGTCAAAAAATTATAGGGAGATTTACATACATGTACCACAATCCTTTATATTTACTTACATATCTAACCTCTAAATTTTCATATTTACTTTTATGACAATACGGCTGTCAAAATGACTCGTTGTTCGCGAACAGCTCGTGTTCGGCTCGTTCTCTAAGTTAACAAGCCGAAGACGAACAAAGATTTCTTTGTTTGTGTTCGGCGCGTTTTGGCTCTAAATACTACTCATCAAGTATATCTATTAGTGTATCCTATAGATATATATATATATATATATATATATATATTATATATATATATACATACATACATATACATATATATATATTGATGAGTAGTATTTTTAATAAAATTAATTCTGTACAAGACTACAAAGATTTATAATCAATTAAAAGTATTAATTAAGAAAATAAAATAAAATTATTAAATTAGATTCAAATGATGTTTTAATATAAACAATAATTTTTAAATCTTGCCCCAACCCTTAACATCTTATGACTAAGCGATTAGAGTTGTCAAAACAACCCTTTGTTCTTGAACAGCTTGTGTTCGGCTCGCTAATCAAACAAACCGAACACCAACATACTTTTTGAGCTCGAAATATAAACAATTGATGCAATTTCTTTCAAGTGATTGAGAGCTAAATTCATTCTATCTTTGATTAATTTTTATTTAAAATACTAAAAATTAAAAATTGAAACGAAATTGAATTTCCTGTGTTGGGAAATTTTCGAGGGTGAACGGGCTGAATTTTAGAGAGTTGGATGTTTGTTTGTTTTCGACTCATTTGATCACAACTCAAAAAGAGGGATTATAATTTTGTTTATTTTAAAAAAACTATTAATTGGAACAATTACATAAAGACCACCCAAAACTTGCTGTTTACAAATCAATCGTCCTCTTTTATCCATTTTTTTTTTAAATCACACTCAATTATCAAAATTTACGGTAAAACCCAACGCATATTTTTCATTTTCATCACACTCTCAATAGTTTGATCTTGTCACTCGTAAAAACATCGGCTTGGTAGTTCAAAAAAATCACCGGAGTGATTAATTTGTAAATATCAATATTTTGGGTGGTATATTTGTAATTATTCTTTTTTTTAATATGGCCGCCTTTAGCAATAACCCATATGATATGACCAATGGTTACAAGTTCAAGCATTTAAGGAACAAAGCTAGACAATATTACAGATGGTAGAACCCTAAACTTTCCAAAAGGCAATAGAGATTTTTTAGCTTCATATTTTTCCAACTAATAATCAATCCTTTCCAAATGAAATCAAAGCAAAAACTCATTATATATTAAAAACACAATATACTAAAATAAATAAATAAATGAATAGATAATATATATTATTTAATTATTAATTTTAAACCAAAAATAAGTGAGACATGATCAAATGAAGTTGTTTGACTCATTTACAATTCAAGTTCAAATATTTTGTTTATGTTATGCTTTTTTTAATAAATCAAGTTAAAAAAAATATGGTCATGATATGCTTGTTTACATATCAGGCTTAAATAAATTGTTTTAGTTTAATTTGATTAGCAAATGAAAAGATCACACACTTTTGAATCGTAAATTGTCTTTTGTAAACAAGTCTCGAGAGTTAGAACCGGACGGAGAAAGAAAAATGGAGTAGAGAATATGTCAAGAATTCGCTGTAGAGAGAAAGGGGAGAGGTCCCTTTACGTCAAGAATTCACCGTTATTAATACAATTGATGTTCTAATTAATCATATATATTTTATACCAAATATGTATTACAATTTAAATTTTAATATAGTGGTAATTAGTCGGTCGGCTTGCTTGAATTTGCTAAGCTAAGGATACCAGCTGTGAGTGGCAACCACGCCTTTCAAAGTAAATATCGATCGGTTGAGGCGCCGGTCAAATGACGATATCGCCCGCTGTAGTAAAAGAGGATCGATCGACTAGCTTGCAATCAAATACTCTTGCATGCGTCTTAATCGGTTGGGACTATAGGTGTGGTCCTCCGATTGACTCTCTGCAATAGTGCATCGGTAGATCCTGATCACACAATCACATGCTGGATGGTAGGATGTCTTGGTTTTCTGAGCACCATCAGGCTCGTTCGATTGCCTTAAGATTTGTGCTGATAATTTTTGTGTATACAACACTCTATAGTGAGTCGAACACAAACTATTCACAAATGAGCTTTCTACTAGCACCTTTGAACAGATTATAAATTTCGCCAAGTCCAAATTTGAGGAAACTTATAATATAAGAATTTTAATATGAAATTGTCCAATGATGACAGATTATAGAAGTCGTTCACCCCCTTAAATTTTGAGTAAATAGTTTCATGCTCTTTCATCTAAAACAATCAATCCAACCACGCATTACAATAATGGGTAAGAGATCTTGCCAGCTCCTCTTTTGGCTTTAGCGGATTAGAAATCTTCATTCACTCAATGCTATCCTTTTCTTGAATCTTGATAATCAGTTATTCGACAACTCTAGAAATAAAGGAGGTGAGGTAGAAAGACAACAAAAGCATAGATTGAGAACAAAACAATACATGATAATTCAAGAATGCTGACAACTCTAAAAGGAAGATGAGTAGAAGAAGAAGCACAGTTAAATGAAAAAACTCACCACATTCTTTTTCCCATTATCTAATGTCTCCAAACGAAATTTATTTGCAGAAGTATAAGAATCTCATTAACACTAATAATTAACTTCTCTTATTAACCTAATACAAAAACTAATCATATGATAATATCGTATCATTACAATATCCAATCAGACTAGCATTGCAATCAAGATCGAGATGTAACAGCTTATGAATACTTGTGGCATAATATTGAAAAGAAAAAAATGATTAAGAAAAAAAAAAAAAAAAACTTAGCTTGAGACAAATCTTGAATGCAATAAGTAAAATCTTAATGATCGAAGACAACAATCACAAAGATTGTAATCAAGGTGTTTGACGATCTTGTGAATTCAACAAAGGGAATGCATAGGAAAAACAATTAGATGGATTTGATATAACCCGATGCGAAACAAATGAAACTCGGCGTTGTTATCTTTGGACGACGACGGGGAATTGCATAGCGGCGGGGAGAGTGATTTTGATAGTATTGTTTTTTTTATCTTGCAGCTCCTCATTCATTGACTGTTCATTTGCCTTTATCCATGCCTTATGACGACGTTATATCATCATCAAATTTAATAGAATTATGAATGTTGTAACAGATACTTAGATGAGAGGACAGAGAAGAAAGTTATAGAATTTAAATTTTACAGAATTATTAACAGGATGAAGATTAAGTTGAGTGCATGAAGGAGGATGGCATTCAGTGGTAGATTATAAGAGGAACAGTCTTTGATCCTGAAGCTGAATAACGTTTAAAGAATATTCAATAGGGTCAGTCTCATATAATTATGGTCATTCAATATGTTTATTGATAATTATAATGCATTTATAAATAGTTTCCTTGAATCAATATCCCCATGAATTTATATAGTATATCGAGGCATAGCTAAAAAACTAGCTTATACTATACTAGGGTATGCTTGGATCTGCTGCAGCTGAATACTGCTAAAAAAACTAAGATGACTATTATAAATTTATTTTTCTAAGAAAAAATATACCGGAACTTTCTGACAACCACCACACATAAGCCTCACTTGGCAAAGCGTTCGAAGTCCGTTGTGGTGAACGGAAAGTGAAGAGATGGAGATCCGCCATTTGGATGCGCACGTTCACCCAATGTGTGATGTGCCACCACACCTTTGTCCCAAACGCACTCTTTGTTTTACTAATAAAGTGAACAATATGGTATATTTCTTCTTTAGAGTTTATGTTTGGGATCGTAATTATAGACAATCATTCATAATAAAATTGCAAACTAAACCAAACAATTGTAAATATTGCAAAGCATCTACTGCTCTCAAATATGCAAAGTGAAGAAGAACAACAGAGGCCGATGAAAAAAAAGGTCAAAAAGTGAACAAAAAATACACTTACAATCCAAGTCAGCTGAATTCCATTATAACATTACAAGTTTAATCATTCTAAATTCGAGGAACTTCCAATATTTCAGAAAAAATAAACCTTCGATCCAAGTTTTAAAATATTTCTTAAAAAAATTAAATAAATAACTTGTGACTACTATATGTCAGTTCTTCGATCGGAAAAAATAAAAATAGACTCGAGTTGTAAACCCTGAAGCTCTGAAGTTCAGGAGAAGAGATTGAAAGTTCAACGTTTTGAAAATTAATTTCCCCTGAAAAAAATAAATATATATATTAAACCATTACATCCCGGTATGAGATAACAATGCAAGAAATATTTTTTAACAAACTTAAAAAAAAAAAAAAAAAAAAAAAAAAAAAAAAAAAAAAGATGAACATCTACATACACACTACTTAATTCCCATGTATTTACATATCTAACACCTAAACTTCAATTTTTTCATATAAACCGATGCCTGAAAAGTTGTATTTCACTTGTTTAAAAGTTAAATAGTGAAACTTTTGATGTTATATGAAAGTTTGGGTGTTATATATGTAAATACACAAGAAGTAGGTGGAATGTATGTAAATTGGTTATATTAGTACCAATACTTTACCCCTCCATCCGGTAAAGCTCTAACTCTCCAAAATTCATCATTTTTTTGCATCTCACTCTTAACCTTATTTCAATTACTCAAGTTATGATAGTCACTGTTCTGTTTATTTTGATGCAAATTACTATCAAATTCAAAATTGGAATATTAGTCGAGTCATGCTACTGGGTTTGAGTAGTACTGGGCACACTATCCTATTTCAAGCTTATGATCGTCCTACAACCATTCCACTTGACCAAACCCGAAACAACTTGACCAGGTACAGGTTAACGGGTTAATTTCAAGTCAATTAAGTTCAGGTCATTTTTGGGTTGGTAGGTCAACGCAAATATAACTTGAAAAACTAAACAGGTTAAGTTTTTTAAGACAAACGCGACCAAAAATTTATGTGTCAACCTTAACCCGGTTTATTTGAGTCCAGTTGGGGTTAAGTTGGCGTATTAGGTCAATTTTTGACACCCCTATCTCATAGCTTTTTGATATCTCAAAATGGCATAGCAAGCTGTGTCATACCCATCTTTGTAGTGCTATTAGCAAAATTCTAATTTACATATTCCTACCCCACCAATTTCTAATTTTCTATGTACTTCAGAAAAAGCTCACAAATTACCATTTTCCTTATCTCTATCTTAGGCTTCATTTCCTTTAGCTATTATAAACTAAGATTATGGGGATCATCGCCCATAATTTCAAAATAAGGTCATAAATATTATGTACTGTCTGACGATGAATTCTCGCTTTTGTTTTGGTTTTTCCAATGAAAATAAATCTCCGAGTTAACCTCAAAATTTATTTCAATAAAAAAAATGATTGAATGATAGCTCAATTTACAAATTAAAACTCTGAAGACCCAATGTTGGAGGTGCATATATCAACACACTTCACCAAAACATTCTCTAATACAACTGAAGAAAACTAGTAGCTGAATGCAAGAATAGTCTAGTCATTAAAACTACTCACACTTTTACTTAAAAGCTAGTCTCCCTCATTCTTTTCTCCATTATTTGCCTTATAAATCAAATAACTTCTTCAACAAACGCAATCTCTATCCTTATCAACATCTCTATAATCAAAGTCCAGAGCATCCTCTTTTTCTATTTGCTAGCACTTAAAAAATAAGTCATCACCAAAATATACGCAACATGTCCTTCTTGGATATGCCTCTCATTACAACAATTATAAATGTCAGGAAGAATTACATACATACACCATAACTATGCATGATCTTCACTTTTTAAAAGTTCAAATGGCGGTATTTTTGATGTGCTTATAAAATATAAATGTAAAAATTGACCTTTAAGTGTTAGACATGTAAATACATAAGAATTGGGTGGTATGTATGTAAATGCCGCTAAATGTTACCATCCCCCAATTGACAAGCTATTTATCTTTCATCACCTCTTTAATAAATATCTTTTTCCAAATCAAATACCCTAATGTTTCTACTTCTTATCACCATCAATTACGCAAGTTCTTTTAACAACAGGCAACTCTCAGCTGCAAAACTCGATCGACTTCTCATCTTCCATCCTTTCCCAATAATCTTCCATCCGTAGTCTCTCCTCCTGCTCCAAATTCTCCTCCAAGTTATCACTCTCCACAACAAGTGCAGTTACTGACAAGAACTTAATGGAAAGAGGAGAAGTACAGGAAGGCCACAGAGCTTTTCTTTCTTTAACAAACTCAAATAAGATTTACATTAAATTATCTGTTACTTAAATAGACCCTTTAGATGGCATACTTGTAATATAGCATAAAGGGCATAAAGGTAAATATAATATGCGCTAATTTAAACATTAATACCGGGGACAAGACATGGTAAGCCGTAGCTCGAGAGGTCCTCATCCAGCGGCGCTGAGGAGCTGGACACGCAGAGCCTCGAAGAATGAAGGAATAGTAGAGCCGCAGGTATGGTTGCTTACCCCCCTTCAAACGGAGGATCAAAGGAATGGAGCGCCAGTTTGGTGATTAAGAGATGATTGCAAGCAAGTCTTTGGTAGGGAGTTTGTGAGAACATCGACAATTTGATTTGTTGTAATGGTAGTTGGAGAGTGATGTTGTTGAGTTTAAGGTGATCTCTTATGAAATGATAATCAATTTCTATATACATTGTGCGAGCATAAAACAATGGATTGTAAGCTAAAGCGATAGCTGATGTACTGTCACTGTAGATCATGGTTGTGGGAGTGATTTTTCTAGTGAGATCCTGAAGTAACTGCACGACGTGGTGGTAGGAATTGCACGACGTGGTGGTACCAAATTAACATCGTGTCTCGTATGAAACCTTCTCAGCTAGACAATTTTTGTAGTGGTGGAAGCAATTGCACGACGCCTTTGTGGATGATTTGGCTATAGTTGGTTGCTTCTTAGCTGACCAGGAAATTAAATTTGGGCCAAGAAGAATGCAGAAGTCGGTTGTTGATTTTTGGTAAGTGTTGTCGCCGGTCCAATCTGCATCTCCATAGGCTTGAAATTGTTGAGATCTAGATGTTATGGGAAAACCATGTTAGGGAGTCCCTTTGAGATGCCTTAGAAGTCGTTTGAGGAGCTGATAATGAATGATGGTGGGATTGTGCATATATTGACTCCTAAGTTAACAGTAAAGATGATGTTGGGTCTAGTGACAATGAGGTATTGAAGTGAGCCTATGAGTTGACGATAATGGTGAGGGTTTATCATAGTTTTTGAGTCTGTAATGTGCTTGAAATGAGCCTATGACTCAAATTCGTTTGCAGAGAAGAGTCTGCAAATTTGTACCTCCATATGGGGTAATTTTCATATGTGGGGTATTTGTTACATTCTGTTGTATGTCATACAGAATTTGAGAGGTGCAGGAATGTTGGTTTCCATTATCTTGTGGAGAGAATCAACAGATTGTTGAATGATATAATGAGAGTTTGAGGAGGAAGAATCCATCAGAGGTTGCTATTGCCAGGTGGCTCTGATAAAATGACAAAAAAAAAACTTAATGGAGAGTCAGTTTGGGGGCCCGGTTGAACAGGTATGGCTGTTTACCCACTTCACCTCTTCAACCACCGACATATAATTCAACTCGTTCCATGATTACTCAACTTGAAACAAGGAACTTGAAACCAAAACAATTCTTTGATTTAGAGCACACCATTAATCAGATGATGGATCTTTCCTATTATTCACAAACAATTAAAGATGAATAGTGCATAAGACAATGTCACAAAAATTTCAAGCTCTTCAAACTCATGGAACTTGGATTCTTGTTCCACTAGCTCCTAATCAAAACCTACTTGAAGCATATAGGTTTACAAAACTAAATCCAACTCCGATGGCACTGTTGCTCAACACAAAGCACATCTTATTGCTCAAGGCCATAAGCAAGAATATGACGTTGACTACAGAACACTTTCAGCCACTACTGTTAAGATGCCAACAATTCGCAGATTTCTTAGTTCCTGGCGAATTATACAACCTGGTGTCTCTAATGTCTTTCTTCATGAAAAACTCATTGAAAAGGTTTACATGTCCCAACCAAATGGTTTTGTAGATCCCAATTCCTAATTATGTGCATCTCATTCAGAAAAAAATGTATAGTCTCAAACAAGCTCCCCAAAAGTGGTATGCTGCTCTCTCTACTCATCTCCATCATCTTGGTTTTGCTAAAGCTCCGCCAACCACCATCTCAATGAATATTCACATTTTTGTTCACAAATAAGTTGAAGATATCCTCATAACTAGATATTATCCATCGAATAATGCTAAGCTCCTCAAAATACTTGAGTAACAGTTTCATAAGAGACACATTGGTGATGTTTCTCAGTTTCTGGGCATTCAGATCAACAAAACCTCTACGGGCTTGCACTTACAAACCAATTTGCAAAATAAAAAATGCAATTTCATTGACATAAGGTCCAGGAAGAATAAAAGACATACCTTCAATCTTCATCGCCTGCATGCTCTAATAGGTAATTAGCAGCCAGCTCCTCATTCCTGTCACAAGCTAAAAATGCTTCTATCACACGTGCCCGATCAAACCCCATCGCCTCGAGCTATGAAAAGATCCAGCATGTCACAAAATTAACATAATAGGTGCTAGAACAAGCCTAATTATACATGAAGATATAAGATATGCACCCGAGCAATAGCATTCTGCTCTTCAGCTGTAACGCTAATAGCATGTGGCATCTCCTCCTCTTCTTGACCAAAGAGATCTCTGGAACACATGCACACAAAACAAGGAAAAAAAAACAAACCTAACTCGTAAAGAACTATCAAAAAAGCAATTCTCCATAAATAAGGGTTTCAAGAGGAACAGCTAAGTGAAAAGATGTGTAAATTTCTATAATTGCAGAGGAGCAAAGTGACAAAGTAGTCCTGTAACTGTTTACAAGTGAAAATTTTAGTCATCGAATCTATAAAAGTGTCAAATTAATCCTCGGACTCTTTGAATTGGAAATGAACGGAAATGAAATAGTCATCCATGAACACTATTTCAGCCCATTTTAAAAAACTCTGGATGTCAAATTGACAATTTTATAAAATTTGAGACTAAAATAAACCCTTACAAAGAGTCAAAGGACTATTTTCTTACTTTGCTCAATTGAAGAGTAGTTGAGAAATTCCTTAAGCTTCTGCATTTTAATATTAAACAGTTAAAACTAACCCCAATAGTTAAACTCCAATGAATTCAAACTCTCACGTCCGCTTTGGAGTCATGGGAGAATTAAAAGTCCAAACAACTAAAATAAGTTTTAGTTGGTTAAGCTTTTTCTTTATAAAAACCCATTAAAAGTCTCTTTCAAGTAAAGCAGCTTTTTATGGTTACACTAAAATAACATTCCAAATTAGTATGAAAATGAAGTTTTTTACAAGGTGCTTTTAAGAAAGCATAATAACCAATCAAGTTAGGGCTTGTTTGGGATCAATTTTATTTTATTTATTTATTTATTTATTTATTTTTGTTTCCAAAAACATGATTCTTTAGCATGTTTTTTTACATGTTTCTATTTTTTTGTTTCTAAAAAAAATTAACATATTTTTGAAAACACTCAAAATAATTTTTAGGTGCTATGAATGTTCTTAAAAACAATCATATCTTAATTAAATACAACAAATATGTTTTTCTTCAAATCAAAACATAAACAAAATAATATAAAAAAGAAATAAAAACAGAAGTGTTCCCAACCGGCCCTAAAATAAATGACACTTTTTTTAAAATGAAAAACAGATTAAAAGTTTAAACAAACGAGGCCTACGTTTGACTGTGTTAATGAAAATAACAAGAAAAACCTTTTCGCTTATTCACATCATTAGAAGTAATCAAATAAAGGAGTTTGTGGAAATGTCTCTTGAATATATTAGAAAATACAATTTTAGCATCATTAATTCAATGATGATATCAAGATTCCTATCATATACTTGAGCTAAATTCACCTTTCAAAATAATTCATTAAACAAACAAAGAACAAACTGGCGTTAAACATTACCCTTACCCTTCAAGATCCACAGGTTCATTAATTAACTGCAGAAACTCAGCATGATGCTCCTGGATAAGTCTTAGAAGTTGCGGGTTCTGCTTACTTAGTTCTTGAAGCATTGGCTACAAATTAGAAGGAATTTAGGAGCAGAGAAAAACTTCAAAAAAAGACTTCAAGGAGGGTCAAGTGGTGAAGAAAAAGAATGGTAAAGCACCGGCGTGCAAATAAGGGGATGTAATTGCAGGGTGGGTTATTCTTTCAGAGATGCAGTGTTATCAAACCTGTAAAATTTGCGGGTTTGCTTGTACCATTGCCCGCAAAGCCTGGAACTGCAACAAATGCATAACATTTATAAATCTCAACTAAATAAAATAATGAGGCATTTACATACATAGCACACAATCCTTAGGTATTTACATGTCTCACACCTAAACTTTCATATTTACACACATAACACCCAAAATTTTAATAGCATATCAAAGATAGTACTATTACCATTTTAGTAGTGAAATACACCATTTCATGCATAGAGTTAAAGCACCAATATGCTATGCAGCAAATATGAAAGTTGTGTGAGATATGAGAATGCATAAGAATTGTGTTACATACATAAATTTCCCTAAAATAAAAACAAAAACACATACAAGCAAAAAGTCATTTCATATGCTAGCAAACTAGATTATAATAGAAAGAGTTCGCATTCTAAAATCACAGTTCACAACATTTGGCAGACACAAAAGAGATGAAATCTAATGCTAGCTAAAAAAAATAAACACAGAGCAAACAGACATCAAAAGAAAAAATGTTGAGAAAGAGATGACACCCAGCAACAATCCATTAACTTAATAATATTTTTTTTTTTACTAAAATACACCCAAATGGAAAAGATTGCAGTATAAGGTCAATTATTTCCTTGTGTCTAGTTCATGAGTTTCATCGTGAAAAAGCCAGTATAACCAGAAAACACAAAATCAAGGTCATCAATAGATAAATATATAATACCCGCATTATTCTGATAAACCTCATCATCTCATCAATCTAATGTAAGATGCATTGTGCATCTTTGCATAAATCTTCAACCGCTCAGCAATAAAAAGTGGCTTTGACCTTATTAACCTTTGACTCAACCGCAGATTTAAATTTTTATTCCAAACAATACATAGTTAATTTTGAAGATTGGCTGAAAAGGAAAAATTACTATCTATCCTAATATATAAAGGAGCCTTATGATGCACAGAAACAATTTCTTTCAAAGAAAACAATAGGTGGCACGTAAAGATTAATAGGAAAGTATGATAGGATGAATGACATGTAAAAATACATATGGTCAGGCTATACACAGGGAAATAATTGAAAGAAACAAAATAAAAACTAATTACAGGATTAGAATACCTGTTGGTTGTTCCTCAAGAAGTCAAGAGACCCAGCACCTTCGCCTAAACCTGGATTGCCCTGTTGAAACCAAAAACTATTATAGTTACACCTATGAGATTTGCAATATAAGAAATTTGTTAAATAAAAAACTGAAATTTACCTGTGGAAACATGTCTAAAGGAGCAGAATTTGGTGACCCGGATGAAAGCACTGTCTCTGTTGTAGCTGGTTCTCCCAAATTCGTATCCTGGGCGGCAGCTTGACTCGAAGGGAAATGAGCTACTGGAACAGCAACTTCTGCTGAAGGAGGAATGCCCTGAAAATAAAAATAAAAAGATAACCGACATGAAAATTCATAAAGCAATACAGCCATATTTCCACACTGCATGTACAATAAAAATTACATACAGAGTATAAATAATCAACAGCACGCTCTGGGTTGTTGTAAGCTGCACGAAGTGCACGTAAAACTGTATCCCTGTCCCAGTTTCCACCACCCATTTCTAGCAACTGCTGGACAGTAGATTCAATATCACTCCCTGCAACCAAATTTGAAGCTGCTTGATCATAAGCATCAGCTGTTGGCCTGAAATTAAGAACACAAGCTTATAACAGCCAAATATTCAAACATAAAATGTCAATATAATAGAACATGAATGAATAATTGGAAAGCTCGTTAGGACGTAAAAGAGTTTTAAAAAACCAAAAAAATAAAGAAGGATTTACATACACAAATACAATTCCCACTTATTTACATATCTAACACCTAAACTTCAATTTTTACATGCATACTACCTTACCTATGAATAAAAAGGTGTATTTCACTATTTAAAAGTTAAAATAGTGGTCTTTTTTTATTAGATATGAAATATTTGGATGGTATAAGCAAAATTTTGATGTTAGATATGCAAATACATAGGAATTGGATGGTATGTATGTAAATGCCCCAAAAATAAAAGAATGGATAGCAACTCACATAACCAGTGAGCGAGTCGTCTCAGGAGGGGGTGGAGCAGGGGCAGAACTTTGTGTGGCTGCTAAAAGCTGTTGAGCAGTTGGAGCAGGAACTTGAGGCTGTTGAGGCGGTGGAGCAGAGACTTGAGGTTGTTGAGGCGGCGGAGCAGTTGTTGAAGGCTATTAATGCATAAAAGTTAGCAACCTAATCACATTAGAAGTAATATTCAGCTGTCACAGACGACGACCTAAAAATTAGTAAATTGCGGTACCTGAACAGTAGACGATCCTCCTGTTGTGCTACCAGTTTTGCTCTGAAAAACAAGCACAATGGGGGAAAAAAATGTAATTAAAGAGTACATCACACATACAATAAGATAATTTTAAAAAAATGAGTTTAGACGGATGAAAATGCTTGTTTTCACATTGATGTGTAATGAAACATACAATAATTTAGAAATAAAAATATGACGAAAAGCCCAGCTTCATACAATGGTTTGAGGAGAAGATGCAATCAAGTAACTAAAAGATTGGTTTACCATGCCCAAAATTACCGGAAGTTGATATAATATCATTCTTCCCAAAAAAAAATGAAAGAAAAAAAAAAATTATGATAAAAGACATTAGCTCAGTGATTCAAAAATTTCACGAAAGCTGGATAGCTGCAAAATTTACTTGGGATGCAACATATAAAAACTAACAAGAAAAAAGGCAACTTTGTTAGGCATTAAATTACAATATACTAAATATGACTAAAATAGCTTCAATTCAAGCATTTTAAGGAATAACAAGTTTTATGAGCATGAAAAATTTATCAATTGAAAAATTCTAATTTCATGAATAGATGAAAGGCAAATCTAGTGATTTGCCAGCAGAAAATAAAGAGTTGACTCCTGGGTATGGTGAATCGTCACACCAATCAAAATCTGAACGAACCTACTAAGAGTTTGATTTGTCAATCCTAGATATACATGTATTATCACTAAACAAAATAGCTAGGCGGTCAAATTGAGAAAACTGAGAATTTCTACTACTAACCATCAATACAATCATAAACATATTAAGATATTTCTTTGGTTTTCATATCCCAAAATTTATTCTGCAAAGGACGAACATTATTGTTCTTGATTAGCAAGGTTCAATCCGAACTTATTGCACTAATTGAAAAGGCCCTGGATGCATTATAATGGCATATTGCACTAAAGCACTATAAAATGCAACAATAGGAAACCATACAATGTTTTGTTTTGAAATAAATGGATAAGTAAAGATAACATATGATTTCTAAAAAATGCTATCAAAGAAAATTCCCTCCATGCCATCATGTAAATTTTGAAAGCAACTGCTAATATTGACATTTGCACCAAAAAAAAGGGGGAGGGGGTATGAAAATAAATACAATGTACGAAAAAATAATTGGCTAACAATAATACTCTTTCTTTGTTGGAATAGAAAAGCGCAAATTGAATGCTCGACAGACTGAGAGTTATAAGTCACAAAGTGATATAAAATATTTTGCTAAAATCAATACAAAGACCCTATTAGTCCAAAAATACAAGAACAAGTTTAACTTCTAGGAAAAAAAGCATAATAAACATATAATTCTCAAACTTTAATTATAGCAAAAAGAAAAAAAAACATAATTAAACTTAAATATGATGACTGCTAAGATGATATATAAATATGAAAAATTACCTTGCTAAGCATGACAACAAGAAAACCATCTTCACTAACTTTGTTCTCTTCAAGAGTGGTTTCATCTTTCAATACTTTTCCATTGTGAATCAATAATTGTTGTCCCCATGGATAGTTATCCTTTCCTTGAACTTCTTCAATATTCTTTTTGACGGCCATGACCTATTAAAAAAATGAAATAAGCATTAGAAGAGTATCAATACAAAAGAAGCCCATTGTAGGGAACATTCAACACAACAAAAATCAAAGAAAGAAATGTTCATAAAGCGATTCCAACGAATGTTAAAGTTATAACATTGCAATATGCCCAAAAGCAATGTCCACATTCGACCTACATCATTGAAGCTTTTGGATAACCATAAATTGAGTAAAGTTAGGGCATGTACATACATAGCATTTAATTCTTATGTATTTATACATCTCACACCTAAACTTTCATATTTACACACATAACACTCAAATTTTTAATATCTCATCATAGCAATATTACTACTTCTAAAAAGTGAAATACATTTTCATGTATAGATTTAAAACACCAAAGTTTTATGCATGTAAATATGAAAATTTAGGTGAGATATATGGAAATACAAAAAATTGTGTGCTAGGTATGTAAATTTTCCTTAAAGAGCGTGTAGGTAAGCATTTCATAAAAACTAAATAATGATGAACATAGTAAGGCTATGCGGAGCCTTGCGATATAAAATGTTACTATACTCATCAAGATGGATGAACTGTTCTATATGTGCATTCTCCAAAAAAAGTGTTAGAGAGCATGCATCCTAAGAGAGATAAATTGTGCATTCTCACAAAAAACCAATATTTTGGTAATGGAAGGCTTGTTAAAAGCAACGCATTATTCAACAAATACCAACAATAGCCTTAGTTTTCAAAAACTTATCTCCTAGAAAATTGGGCCTTAAATAAATTGGTCTTTATGCATTTGAGTATATGGAGTGTGCATTTATTCATGAAGAAACCAACAATATAATTGAATGTCGCTTGAATGCATATTCGTTACAAAGATCATTGCTTTATTTAAATCATTAGTACAAATGCAGAAATAAAAAAAATAAAAAAGAACCAATCAGATCTTTAATGAGATACCAACATGAGGTAATGTAATTTCCAATGTTACAATATTTCAACAAAATATTTAAATGATATCATAAGCAGAATTAAAAAAACATCTTAAGAAATTAAGCATCATAATAATAGATCCTTGCTTCCGACATCAAATTCCAAAAGACCAAACAAATTTGTTGAACAACCTTCCAAAAACGAGGATATTCCATTCCTCTCACGACATTAATAACCACTAACAGACAATTTGATAATACAACTATTCAACACTTGAAATTAATACAATTAAAATCATCCCTGAAAGCAAATTGCGCTAGAAATATAATTTCTGCTGTCACAAATTCAATCTCCATCAAACAAGAAAAAAAAATATCAAAACAAAACTTATTGCCAAGCATCCCTTGCAGCACTGAAAACTTCATCATGGCAAGTCGACATCTCACAAAGGCCTCCTGCAAATTAATTCCATATTGCTCATGCCAAAATTCAAACTTCATTACTTTTCACCATAAAAAATGTCAGTCTCCTGCAGTTATGAATACATAGAAGACATAATACAGAGCTGGACGTGTCCAAAAGAACACAAGAACAACAATAACTCCAAAAACTAGTTGACAAAAGATAAATTAATTTCCAAAAACAATAAAGGTCTATCTTCAACTTTTCCATAACATAACAAATCAAAACCATTAAAGGAAGCATTTTTGCCATCAGAAATGGTTTGCGAATAACATGTAGAAAGAGATAAAGAGCTGAGTACCGTATCATTAGGATGAACCTGGATCTCAAAGTGACTTCCCCTCAGCGTTTTCACCGTAAGCTTCATCTCCGCCAAAAACTGGGGGATAGGAGATTGGGAACAGAAACCCTAGCGAAGGAGAACGGAACAAGAAAAGCATATGCCGAAAGGAAGCGAGAACCGGTTTGACACCGGATCTGTATGTCGGAAAACTTTCGGATTGGATGTTTTTTTTTTATGTATTTGTAAATTATCTATCAGTATGCCTTCCCATTTACCTACATACCATAGAATTTTTATGTATTTACATCTAACACCTAAACAATTTTATTTATATGCATATCACTCTATTTTTTAATATTATATGAAAAATATTCTCATCATTATATTTTTTTTAAATGAAATTTAATTTGTCATGTATAAAATTTATGACATTAAGATATTATAAATGTAAATATTAATTTTTGGGTCTTAGATATATAAATACATAAGAGTTGTGTGGAATGAAAATAGTCTATTTCAAACTAATGCGTATGTCAGCAATGACAGTGATGGTCAGCTCTTAGGCCTGTGAATGGGCTGAGCTTGAGCGAGCTCGAGTTTGACTAGTGTTCAGCATGTTCAAAATTGACTCGTGAACAGTGTGTTCGTATTCAATTCGGCTCGATTTACATACTTTTTTCATGTCCGGCTCAAAATTAATTTGAAAAAAATAGATGTAAAATTTTAAGTTTGGGACCAAAGGGGCGGCACCACCTTGAAAGTGAAAGAAAAAGAAGAAAACCGGTACTAGTACTAGGATGAAGAAGAAAACAGACATGAATTAAGAAATTATAGATGTGAGATATGCAAATACATTAGAATTGTTTATCAGGTCTGTAAATTTCCCTAATTTGAATCAACTTTAATGAAATACCACATCACAATTATTGGCACCCATTAAAAGAAATAAAATCAAGTCTAAGGATTTATATAATCACTAGAATTCAAAATGTATTTATTTAGACTGCAATAAGGTCATTAAATTAAGTAGGAAATATTAATTAATATCCCTCATAATAGTAAAATTTCATTTTGAACCAAATCACATTTCACTAAATTTGCAAAAAAGATTCTCAATATATACGTGAACTTTCAAGGGAAAAATTGTTGGCCCCTTTCTACTCTTAAGCATTTTGTTCTATATAAGAAATATTTCGTCCAAAGTCCGGATGCAAGCAACGTCCGAACAACTGATGCAATACGCACGATGAGGGTTTTTTTTCCTGTTCTGCTCTTCTGGACGTAATCTTTTTTCCTCTTCCAGGTAACAGTTTTTGCAAAAAAAATTTCAAATTCTGATAAGAGAAGCTTTGGTCATGGTTAAAAACAATAAAAATTTATTGAGGTTTGAGTAAATTCGATTAATAATGGAGCATTGTTCAAACAAGACCTAGCAAGATTGGACAAGATTAATGCATAATTGATCTAATCAAAGTAGCATTTGCAAAAATGGTCATGATTCAAATTTATTATTTACACGCACTATATCTTTGAGGAATAAGACACGTCTTAGTTCTCTTGTAGTGTGTCACGCAGATGTTTGATCTAATTGTACTTGTGAACTTGCACTACACTATTGAGGTCATATGGGCCGGATTATAAGAGGAAGCACCTTCTATGCGCCCCGCGCGTATCTAGAGACGATGCACCATTTTTTTTATATGTAATATTACTATTAATATATAGTATATTAAATAATATTATAAATATTATTATTATTATTTATTTTATATATTAAAAACATTAAAAATTAATTTTTACATTAATTAATAAATTGTAATTCAATTTTAATTAAATAAAAAATTTAAAATAACTAAATAAATTTAAAAAATTAGAAATTTGCAAATTTTATTTCAAATTGAAACATTTACAAAATGAAATATATTAAATTAATTGAACATATTAAATAAATATTTAAGGAAATCTATCTTCTTCTACGTCGGGGTGGAATGACGCCCAAGACAGGTGTATTGTAGTGGTTGGTTACGCAACTGATGTTCTTAAAGTTCTTGTTTAATATCATTGCTCTCAGTTGTGTTATTTGAAACATCTCGTGATATCTGATAAATATGTTCATTGGGATTTAGCAGTGAATATAATTGTAGTGTATTGAAATTTATGTATACATCAGAAATAGGGGCAGACATGGAAATGTTTTGAAAATTTAAATAAAAAATTCCACCACTAGTGTATGTCCACTGCTGGTCAAAGGATGGAACCTCAAATACTAATGGTATGACATATATGGAGGTTCCAACATAGTTGGATGGTCATCACTTATTAGTAGACTTAACTAATTAAACTAAGAAATTTATAACTCTATTCTGGTTTGCAAAATTTATGATTGACAATTCTCCTATATAATATAAGAATTAGATAGGGTTTAGATTATCTGCATTACTAACTCTCATATAAGGATAGACCCCCATAGTTAATTATAACTTAGGCAACTGAAGTCACTTGAGGAAACTCTCGATTAAAATAAGGGTGTTCATCTTCAAAAATTCAACGTTTATGTTTTCACGATTGCTTATAGGAAAGTTAAACGGGAAGGCTAAATGTGGGACAATTATTTGTTGAATCCAAATAAATGAAAAGTAGACGATGCCAAAGATACCGAGGAAATCTCTATGACATTTCATACTATCTTATGGTTTGACTTTATGTCATTGAAAGGGAAATTATAATGTTTGAATCTTGTAATTTATTAAAATATAAGGCTTATATCTGCACGACATATGATCATGCAAATTACTTGAGAAGATAAGAAGATTTACGTCGTACCGAACGAACAACATCAAAATCCTAAAAAAAGTTAGGACTTATACTGCATGACGTACAATCACGCGAAAGCCCGAAAGATAGTGTGAGGATTTACGTTGTATTGGATGAACAATATCAGAATCCTAAGGAATTGTGTTGTTTAAGACAACAAAAATTTTAGTTGATGATCATCCTTCGCTTCAAGTGGTGGTCTTGATCGTCACCTGAAGTCCTCCGCTACTCGATTGCGTTGGTTTGCTTCATAAAGAGCTTGCTCCGGGCCCTTTATTGTGACGGTTTTGGGTCCTAAAAAATATGTTTGAATATTCATTTTCTTAATAATCATTTTCAAATCCTAATTTTTATAGCACATATTTTATTAAGTGAAAAAAATATGCCTTATTCACATTTCATGTATTCCCCTCCCATCAGAATATTGGCTCCCCAAAACATTGACAAATTCAAAATGCAAAAGAAGTTCATATACAAAAAACTGTCTCTCAAGTTCAAAGTGTTGCCATTATATAATGAAAATAGAGCGCTAAGATGATACTCTGCTTGTCATAATAAACTACAACTTACGCTTTTAAGAATCCTTAAAAAATAGAAGATTGGGCTTTTGAGAAAGCAACAAGGAAATTATCTAATCCTCTTCCCAACTTCCACAATGTTGGACATTAAGAATTACAATGTAAGAATGCCCGAACTCATAACACATAAGTTGGAAACAAGTGAAGAACCCCATAGTGTAGGATTCAAGTGTTAGTCATACCAAAAACAAAGATCCTATCAATCAATCAAGATATTGGAGTTCATGAAGTGGTACTTTCCTTATTGAAAAGTGGCTTCTATTCAATACAAAACAAATCTCATTTATGCATGCATGCATGCAAAGGGAGGTGCACGATTTTTCTTTTGTTCAACATTTTTAGAACATGGCCTTCCCACTTTGTTGGAATCATTGAGGTGGATGATTACCTTCAATTATTTCTTTATAATTACTGTACAATAAGTTTGAGCTATATATAATTTATTATTATTTTAGTAACATGATTAAAGATCATATTATGAACAGCATTAATATATATCATCCAGCTAACACTTATTAAAGTTTTAATCATGTTTAAGTTTGATTGTTAATGGTACTTTTAAAATTTTATATTTAATCACATTTAACGAATAAACAATTATTTTTAAGCATAAATTTGAAATATTGTGACCAAAATTCTAAATTTAATTGAATTTAACGGATAAACAATATGATTAAAATTAACTTAAAATTGTTGTGATGTTATGTTGTTGCGAAATCTATAGATATATACCAGTTGATGTGGTATATATATAAATCAAACAGAAGAATGATCTTTGAAGCGAAAAATAAAACGAGAAAATTCACACCAGAACGAACACAACGGAACACTCAGATTTACATGATTCGACAAATTGTCTAGGTCCACGGAGTTGCAGATGATTTTACTACTTGAGAAATTTACACCAGTCGATCACCTCGACTTACAAGAGTGATCTCTCACTCTCACTTCGTTGCTCTCTCTTCTTCTCTCTCTGTTCTTCTCTCTCTACATCGAGATACATTGAAAAAACTCTACACTGAGATACACCGAAGAAGATAAACTTGCAAGAGAAATAAACCCAATTTCTCTTCAGCCACAAGCCACCAAGAAGAAGCCAAGGGAGAACAATATTCTTTTTCTTTCTTTTTCCTTCACCGCAAGGAACTACTTCTTGCACCTTTCTTTCTCTATCCCGAGGAAACCCGAAGAAGAACACTGTGACTTATCTTACTGAAGGAGAGTCATGCGATACCTTTTATCACGAACAGGAGGGAGCTAAGGGATGCTTCGCTTCGCGGAAACAAGGAAGGCGGGAACGGTTCGATCGAGCGGGAGGCGGGAGAAGCGATTCTTCGCTAAAATAGGAGCAGGAGCAGTTCATAGTTTTCACAACATTGGAGGAGACGCGATTTTTCGCGGTCTTTGCGGCAGCGGGATCGGAAGGCGGGAGGCGGGATCGGGCTCCAACACAACATATTACTTGAGCCATGGAGATAAGTGACAATGAGCTGACTTTACATCTTTTGAATGTTGGTGCGGACAAAAGTCCCGATGACCAAAAAAAAAAAAAAAAAAAAAAAAAAAAAGACCATTGTTCGAACGTATGTCTGATGGATGATAATATTTCTCCAGAGACAACAACAATAGTGGCAAAGATCGATACTTAGCAACTTGTTGCAATTTATAAGGGAATATGATCCATATATTATTCATTTATACTAGGGATATATTCCAGTATGTTTCCTTAATGCATCCCTATAACGAGATAATTCTAAAGCTGTAATTCCATCCAAATTCGTTGAATGCATGGCTATGTTAAGCAACTAATGCATGAAATATTCTCAAGAGAATAAAGTAATTAATGTGATTAGGAATAAGCATTCCTTTCAGGTTAACCACCTTTTGATAAAATTTTGAATTATATATAATAGCCACACATGATTTGTGAAAAATTGTAGCTTAATGGTAAAATTTTGTTGCAGTTTTCTTAACTTAAGACGGATTTTAGCCATATTTTCTTTTCAAAACTTAGTAAAAAATGTAACTCAAAGTAACATTTTTACCAAATTATCATTCTTATTGAACAATTAGGCCCCAGTTTGGGACTGTTTATGTGGTGTGATGCATTTTGAAAATGCACCCAGGATCGTTTGAGTAAATTATTATTCAACAGTTTATTCAAAAGACTGTGTTTTTAAATAGCTGAAATCAATATTTTCACACTATTACTAGCTAGCTGCGGTGACAACTTTCTAGCTGCGATCCGACTTTTCAAAAAAAAAAAAAAATTTAATAGCCACCACAGCTTTTTGAACAACAGATTTCATTTTAGTAGCTTATCAACTGCAGCTGCCCCAAACAGACCCTTAGACTATAATATGTATTTGCGAGATAAATTTTTAGCCTTAATTTTTTTATTATGAAAGCAAACCTATAAAATTATATTAGTCACAGAAAATTTTATTCACACAAATATTTGCTGATATTTAAAATTAAAAATACTAAAGCACTTTCTATTCCTTCATATTTTGTTGTATAAACTATATAAAATGAAAGAAGAATTTACAAAATTGCAGCAAAATTGGCATTTTAGCAACAACTTCTAAAAAAACACTCGAAATAAAACATAATTAGCTCAAAGTTTGATGGGAGTGTTAATTTCATAATATATTTTGTTGCATGTACCAAAATTAAAATTATGATGTAATAAAATTTTGAAGTTAAAGCAACTTCAAAGCATCATCAAAATAAGGCCCCAATCGTCCATTTGGCAACCGTTAACAACTTTCTTAACCCTTAATTATACAATCGCACACGCAACCAATAATTAAATGAAGACAGTGCTAATAATTGATCTCACAAGCAATACTGAAATCAGAAGTAATTAGCGTTTCTTAAGCTTTATTGAAGAAGTAATATCATATTATTAAGGAAAATAATGGAGTTAGCTTTAACATCACACTTTCTTAATGAAACTAGACGCGTTTATTCCTTTAACAACTTGCTTGCAACTTTCCATACTCCTTAATTCTTACTTCCCTCTCTTACCTACCTCTTGTTTAAATTGGCCTCTCCTCATATCTCCTTATGCCAACATGTACACACATAATCAACATAAGAAGAAGCAAAAACAAAATCTAGCCATGAAGCAAGAAGCCGTTGATCGAAAGAGGTATGCTCTTCTACTTGCTGTGAGGGACTCTGATTACGTGCGAACGAAGTATGGTGGCTACTTCAATGTCTTCATTGATGTCTTTGGGAGTGAAAACGAGATTTGGGATCTTTTTAGGGTTGTGGATGGAGAGTTTCCTGAAGAGGAGGAACTAGATAAGTATGATGGCTTCATCGTGAGTGGTAGCCCTTATGATGCATATGGAGATGAGATATGGATTTTGAGGCTTTGTCTCCTACTGCAAACATTAGATTTTATGAAAAAGAAAGTTCTAGGAGTATGTTTTGGTCATCAGGTAAAGTTTTTATTTTTTGTCCAAGGATTGATGAATGCTAATAGATTAGAAGATGTTTAAGATGCATGGAATAGATTACAAATATTGAAAGAAATAAATGATTATTAGCTGCATCTTAAAAAATATGCATAAATATCTTTTAATTACACACACGTGTGTTTGTTTGTGAACGTGCGCACACACACGTATGCACACACGTACGCACACGCAGACACACACGCGCACACACAAACACATATAGAGGGGAAAATGTGGTAATTAGTAAATGTGGCTAAAGCAGCTTGTAGGAAGGATGACTCGTAGTCATGTCTAAGAGTATTAGTATATAGTAATATTATCTAACACAAACAGATCAGATGCTATTTTTACTCACTATATAATATAATAGTGACTAAATTTCATTTTTTACCCATTTAAAATTTAATTATTATAGTTCAAGTGTATTAAAACTAAGTTATATCAAAATAGGGGCCATACAACTAGCACTATAAGTAAAGTTCCTAAAAATTATTGTAAAAGCCCTTAAATTGAATCAAACTTCATTAAATTTATGTTCAATACACAACATTCAAAAATAAAATAAAATATCAGAACAAATAACATAGCATGCACCTTACAAAATAGTGCAATACAACATAAGACAATATTAATACATGCAACTTTCCTTAATTTCTTTCTTTATAATTCATATCTTACATTAAAGAGAAACTTTTATATTTTATAAACTATAAATAATCCCAAAAACAAAATTATTAAAACAATCTTTCTTTTGCAATAGGTTCTCTGTCGAGCTTTGGGAGGTCGTGTTGGCAAGGCTCTTGGAGGATGGGAAGTTGGTATCAAACAAATCACCTTCGTCGATGATTTATCAAAACATTGCCCTTTCTTGAAAGACCTCCATGATTTTCCTCCTCATGCTTCTATCATAGAGTGCCATCAAGATGAGGTAATATACATACCACATAATTTTTATGTTTTTACAATTTATCATGTAAATGTTTATATTTAGATATCGTATAACACTCAAATCGTTAACATCACATTAAAAATATCATTTTTAATTTTTAAAAAGTGAATTTACGACACCAAAGTATTGTAATTGTGAATATCAAACTTTATGTGGTGATATATGTATGTAATTTTTTCTAGAGAGGGAGAGAGATTGAGCAAGAATTGATCAACATCATTGGTTATAAAACAGGTATGGGAGGCTCCAATTGATGCTAAGGTGATTGCATTTTCAAAGAGGACTGCAGTGGAAGCATTCTGCATTGATGAACATATTCTGGGAATTCAAGGGCATCCAGAATACACAAAAGACATCTTAGACAATCTCATCGGTCGTCTGGTTGATAATAATTCCATTAATGTAAGTTTTTTTTTTTTTTTTTTTTGTAAGTTTTGTGAATATTTTAAAATAAATATTTAGGTGAAATTAATTATAAAATTTTTAAATTTATGAGATGGATTTTGCCGAAGAGGTCAGGAAGACAATGGAGGGGATTGAGCCAGACGGGAAGTTTTGGGTGGAGATGTGCAAGGAGTTCTTGAAAAGTAATTGAGGTTTCAAAAATGTATTAATGATGCATTAATCAATTAATGTACTAAACATGTTGAGAATGTTGATTGATTGCAAATGATACACAAAATGTTGATAGTAATTAACAATTCTCACCTAGAAAAAAATTTAATAAATATATAGTTAATAGGATCATTAAATTTAATTTTTGCATAGAGAAAATGATTTAAATTTAATATATATATATATAT